GCCAGACCAAATGACTTCCCCGGCCTTACAGAGCCTGACCCAGATGCCCCCCACCCCCGGTTAGGGAAGGCCATAGGTCTTATCAGGCAGATCACCTCGAAAGCATTGATCAGGAAATTCCAGACGGATTTGGTTAAAATTCTACTCCTGGGAGAGGCTGAAACTGTAATCAGGTTAGTTATCGAGTTTTGTTTGGTGACTTAACAACAGTGACTACAATTTGGCCTTTTTGGTTTAACAATGGGGAGACATACTGTGTTTCTTACATGGCTGGATTTTCAAAGCCGAGAGTAGTGCTTAGGACATAGTAAGGATCCGATAAACGCTGGTGGTAAATGAAGAAGTGATAGCTGGGGAGAGAGGAAATTCGCCTCCTGCTTTGTGTGTGTGTGACACCAGTGTATGTTGTTCTGATGCCGATTCAGTAAGCTAATGTTTCAGACTGCAACACTGGGACTCGGTAACTGCTGAATACTCTGGTTTCCTGAGTTAAACATTCACTTGCGGCTGAAGGATGAAATCCTAACTTGAGACCACTGTGCTTTTTAGTTCATGTCACAATCACTTCCCTTTCATCCGAGGCAACTCTAGAAGCAGCAGGAGAAAGTAACCTGCTTGTACAATCCTCAGCTTCATTTTCTGGGCCAAGTGTAGTGTCTCTTCCCTCTGTAAACCAGTAGTATGTGCTGCATTAGATGTTGTCTTTTAGTATAAATATAACCATCGTATTAATACAAGTTAGAATATGGAGAAAATATAGGAAAAACTATGCTCAAAAAACGATGACCGTATTTGTCTGTCTTTTTCACTCCATGCATTTGTTCTATGTATAGACATAGATCATGGTAATTTGTGTCTCCATTTTTCTTTTGTTAACCCTCACCTAAGGATATATATTTTTTCTATTGATTTTTTACAGAGAATGGAAGGGAGGTGGGGGGAGAGAGAGAAACATCGATGTGAGACACATCCATTGTGCCTTCTGCATGCGCCCTACCCAGGGCTGGGGATTGAGCCTGCAACCCTATCAGTGGGTCTCAACCTGTGGGTCGCGGCCCTTTCACAGGGCGAACGGCCCTTTCACAGGGGTCGCCTAAGACCATTGGAAAACACATATATGATTACATATTGTTTTTGTGATTAATCACTATGCTTTAATTATGTTCAACTTGTAACAATGAAATTGGGGGTCACCACAACCTGAGGAACTG